TTTTGTCATATCTTGTTGCTTGTTAGTTAAAAAGAAACTTTCCTCATCTAAACCTTTTTTGAAAAAACCTGGCATCGTTTCTCTTGGGGTTAGTGGGTACAAATGGTACCCATAGCTTAGAGGGTGCAAATGGTACCCGTAAGAAGACTTGGTGGAAATCATGGTGGTCGTTTGGATCAGAGAGAATAAGACAATTATGGTGGCAAAGATTTTCTCTCCCGTAGTAAGGTAAAGCATGTATTTTCCTGGTAGCCGGTCTTACTTCATGAAAAAACAGGCCGCTACCAGTGACTAGGTCCCCTCTCTTATGGCGGTCATCTGCTCACTATCTTCAACAGAACAGAAAGGGGTGTTCCTTTACAGGCAGGGATAATATGGTCCGTCGCGTACGCAACATAGTTAGGGAGATAGACAGTTTAGAAGCGTCCAAACTGCGCAATCTGGGTAGTGCGTTCCTGGCTTTTGCCTTTAGATTCAAGTTGTTACAACTTTTACAAGGGCATTAAGTGTAAATACGGCATTATCTCAAATGAAGAGACCGCCAGGGTTAGAGTGTTTTTATGTTGGTTTGTTAAGAAACAAACTCAGTTTGTAATAAAGGATTCGGTACCCATACGATGTGTGCCAATTTTAAAGGAATAACTAATATGTATTCACCGGATGTTTTGGGCTTTAAGTTCTGGGAAAATAATAAAAAAGCAGTGTCCGTGGTCGGGACTGAATAGTACTGTGGAAGGTTAGCTTGGAAAATTTACAATTATAAGATCCGTATTTTTGGAATATTATTACTTGTGTTGAAAAATACTATCCTACTGATATTGGCAACAATGATGTCTGAAGAGGATGTTAGCCCTAAAGTTTATTTCATAAAATGATTTATCTTTGTATATACCCAATTACAAAACAGTTCAAAAAAAATTTCGAGTAAAAGTTTAATAATAATTGAAGCCTGAGGTATTTTACCCCAAGGTTTTCAAAGGGCAAATTCGTTAATTGTCAAGTTCTTGAACCTCGTATGTCTCCACGTCTTCGCCAATGTGCTTTAAGGCCTGATTCCACGGGCGCTTTTTCTCGGCGAAATATTTCGCCTGTTTCTTTTGAATTGCGACCACTCGAATAAATTATTTCTACTTGATTGCCCACAATTCAAATAAACAGGCGAAATATTTCGCCGAGAAAAAGCGCTCGTGGAGTCAGGCCTTAATGCTTGCCCATTCCTTAATTACTCCAAAAAAAATTTGTACTTTTTCTAGTGTTCAAGTTTTCACTGGAAGTTTTCAAATCTTTAATAACATTGATTATACTAAGAGATTTTAATGAAATAAAATTTGGGGCTAATGCATATTTCGTTTTTTGGTCTTACGTTTAAAGGAAAAATACCACACTGATTGTTGCTAGAAAAAAGTCTTGAGATTTTGTTTTACTTCTATAAAAGTAACATGCTTTTTGTTTTTCAACAAGTAATAATGGTCTAGAAATACAGATTTAAATTGGACATTCGGTAGTTTTCTTCGCTAACTGCAAATTTCCTGCAAAATTATGCGTTTATCAAGCCTGGTTCACATATGTGTGCGATGTGTCGGGGGACAATTGTCTTAAACAATGACGTCGCAGGCATATGTGAACCAGGCTTCATGGTCTGTGAACATCGGTACGACTGCTTGTTTGTATGCATACATTTTTAACTAGTTTTTGGAAATGGAGTTATTCAAACTTCTGGTGATTTTGAACATGTAATGGTTATATGACTCATTCTGTGAGTAAATATGTTCGTTTAAACATTGTTCTAGTTTTTATAGCTTTCGTTGTCTTTCCAATCGAAATATAAGTGATTGGTTACGATATATATCGAATTATTTGTCAATTGTTCGGTTCATTTAATGCATGAAGACACCCAAAATTTATATAGTTTGATAGTGGCAAAAAATTTGAGCATAAAAATGTGTGCAATAGTGCACCAAAACACTAGTTAGAGAGTTTTAGCTTACCGCTAACGAAGTTTTTGATTTTACAAGTCTATTATAACAGCTTTTACACCAGTTTTGAAATATAAACAATTATTAAACTTGTGCTCTTTAGCAATGATTTAAAAGAAAGCAAATTAACTACTAGTCACGTATTCGCGAAAGCAGTAAATTATGATTTGGCGTTTGAAGTTTACGTTTGGCGTATAAATTTCATGCTTTAACGACTATACAAGCCCTCATAGCAGTTCAAGCATGAAATTTATACCCCAAACGTAAACTTCAAACGCCAAATCATAATTTACTGCTTTCGCGAATACGTGTCTAGTGGTTAATTTGCTTTCTTTTAAATCGTTGCTAAAGAGCATAAGTTTAATAATTGTTTATATTTCAAAACTGGTGTAAAAGCTGTTATAATAGACTTGTAAAATCAAAAACTTCGTTAGCGGTTTGACGTTTGCCGTAAACGTCAAGCTAAAACTCTCTATTGTATTTGAAATGACTGGAACACAACTAGTTTTAAATTACATTTGAATTGAATTTCATAAATCAGTATTTCAAAAGTTTTGAAACAGATAAATTGATCAGAACTTTTGAAATACTGATATATGAAATTCAATTCAAACGTAATTTAAAACTGTTGTGTTCCAGTCATTTCAAATACAATAACTAGTGTTTTGGTGCACTATTGCACACATTTTTATGCTCAAATTTTTTGCCACTATCAAACTATATAAATTTTGGGTGTCTTCATGCATTAAATGAACCGAACAATTGACAAATAATTCGATATATATCGTAACCAATCACTTATATTTCGATTGGAAAGACAACGAAAGCTATAAAAACTAGAACAATGTTTAAACGAACATATTTACTCATAGAATGAGTCGTATAAACCATTACATGTTCAAAATCACCAGAAGTTTGAATAACTCCATTTCCAAAAACTAGTTTAAAATGTATGCATGCAAACAAGCAGTCATTGCCAATGTTCACAGACCACCTTAAGGATTGTAACAGTACTATTTGGTTTGTGGGTTCAAATCCCAAAACACTAAATTTTTATTTATAAAAAAAAATGGATCCATTGGATCCATCAGATCCCTTGGATATCAGATCCCTTGGATCCATCGGATCCCTTGGATCCATCAGATCCCTTGGATCCATCGGATCCCTTGGATCCATCAGATCCCTTGGATCCATCGGATCCACCAGATCCCTTGGATCCATCGGATCCCTTGGATCCATCAGATCCCTTGGATCCATCGGATCCACCAGATCCCTTGGATCCATCGGATCCCTTGGATCCATCAGATCCCTTGGATCCATCGGATCCACCAGATCCCTTGGATCCATCGGATCCCTTGGATCCATCAGATCCCTTGGATCCATCGGATCCACCAGATCCCTTGGATCCATCGGATCCCTTGGATCCATCAGATCCCTTGGATCCATCGGATCCACCAGATCCCTTGGATCCATCGGATCCCTTGGATCCATCAGATCCCTTGGATCCATCGGATCCACCAGATCCCTTGGATCCATCGGATCCCTTGGATCCATCAGATCCCTTGGATCCATCGGATCCACCAGATCCCTTGGATCCATCGGATCCCTTGGATCCATCAGATCCCTTGGATCCATCGGATCCACCAGATCCCTTGGATCCATCGGATCCCTTGGATCCATCAGATCCCTTGGATCCATCGGATCCACCAGATCCCTTGGATCCATCGGATCCCTTGGATCCATCAGATCCCTTGGATCCATCAGATCCCTTGGATCCATCGGATCCATCAGATCCATCGGATCCATCGGATCCCTTGGATCCATCAGATCCTTTGGATCCCTTGGATCCATCAGATCCCTTGGATCCATCGGATCCATCAGATCCCTTGGATCCATCAGATCCCTTGGATCCATCGGATCCATCAGATCCCTTGGATCCATCAGATCCATCGGATCCATCGGATCCATCAGATCCATCAGATCCATTGGATCCTTCGGATCCATCGGATCCCTTGGATCCATCAGATCCATCGGATCCATCAGATCCATTTTTTTTTTATAAATAAAATTTAGTGTTTTGGGATTTGAACCCACAAACCAAATAGTACTGTGACAATCCTTAAGGTGGTCTGTGAACATTGGCAATGACTGCTTGTTTGCATGCATACATTTTTAACTAGTTTTTGGAAATGGAGTTATTCAAACTTCTGGTGATTTTGAACATGTAATGGTTTATACGACTCATTCTATTAGTAAATATGTTCGTTTAAACATTGTTCTAGTTTTTATAGCTTTCGTTGTCTTACCAATCGAAATATAAGTGATTGGTCAACGATATACAGGGTGTATCAAAAAAAGTAAGACAATTTTGAAATTGCTCTCAATTCCACAATTCTGTTCATAAAATGTAATTTTTGCTATATATGGATTGCTTGAGTTTTAAATAATGGGAAATATCCAGGGGGGTGGTCAACTTTTGCTCCCCTAAAAGTGGCTTGCGCACGGAAATGACAAACGGTATTCTTTATTTGAGTTCATGTATGAAAAGTTCGCTATTTGTTGCATTTATCATAAAATTTCGGCAGGATTTTACAGAGTACAAATCCTCCGAAAAGCCTATTAAAACGTTACATTTTTCTCTGTAGGTGCTTTTCTTGCTTCATTATGAATTCATTTTTACTCCCATGAGAGTTCCGTGGAATTTCCATGGAATTTGTGCTTTCGAGTTGTTTGTGCTGAAACGCATTCCCTCGTATAATACCCCGTACACTTTGAAATGGCGATGCCACAATTTACCCCGCAGCAGAGAGCTTTTATGGTATCAGAGTTCCTCCGTAGCAACAACATAAACTTGGTTCGCCAAAGTTTCACGAATATGCAGATGTACGATGCCCTTCATGTATCCGCACATGAAGGGCATCGTACATCTGCATATTCTTTCGTGAAACTTTGGCGAACCAAGTTTATGTTGTTGCTACGGAGGAACTCTGATACCATAAAAGCTCTCTGCTGCGGGGTAAATTGTGGCATCGCCATTTCAAAGTGTACGGGGTATTATACGAGAAAATGCGTTTCAGCACAAACAACTCGAAAGCACAAATTCCATGGAAATTCCATGGAACTCTCATGGGAGTAAAAATGAATTCATAATGAGGCAAGAACAGCACCAACGGAGAAAAATGTAACGTTTTAATAGGCTTTTCGGAGGATTTGTACTCTGTAAAATCCTGCCGAAATTTTATGATAAATGCAACAAATAGCGAACTTTTCATACATGAACTCAAATAAAGAATACCGTTTGTCATTTCCGTGCGCAAGCCACTTTTAGGGGAGCAAAAGTTGACCACCCCCCTGGATATTTCCATTATTTAAAACTCAAGCAATCCATATATAGCAAAAATTACATTTTATGAACAGAATTGTGGAATTGAGAGCAATTTCAAAATTGTCTTACTTTTTTTGATACACCCTGTATATCGTTGACCAATCACTTATATTTCGATTGGAAAGACAACGAAAGCTATAAAAACTAGAAACGAACATATTTACTAATAGAACGAGTCATATACCATTACATGTTCAAAATCACCAGAAGTTTGAATAACTCCATTTCCAAAAACTAGTTAAAAATGTATGCATGCAAACAAGCAGTCGTGTACCGATGTACACAGACCATGAAGCCTGGTTCACATATGCCTGCGACGTCATTGTTTAAGACTGTTGTCCACCGACACATCGCAGACATATGTGAACCAGGCTTGACAAACGCAGGAAATTTGCAGTTAGCGAAGAAAACTACCGAATATCCAATTTAAATCTGTATTTCTAGACCATTATTACTTGTTGAAAAACAAAAAGCATGTTACTTTTATAGAAGTAAAACAAAATCTCAAGACTTTTTTCTAGCAACAATCAGTGGTATTTTTCCTTTAAACGTAAGACCAAAAAACGAAATATGCATTAGCCCCAAATTTTATTTCATTAAAATCTCTTAGTATAATCAATGTTATTAAAGATTTGAAAACTTCCAGTGAAAACTTGAACACTAGAAAAAGTACAAATTTTTTTTGGAGTAATTAAGGAATGGGCAAGCATTAAGGCCTGACTCCACGAGCGCTTTTTCTCGGCGAAATATTTCGCCTGTTTATTTGAATTGTGGGCAATCAAGTAGAAATAATTTATTCGAGTGGTCGCAATTCAAAAGAAACAGGCGAAATATTTCGCCGAGAAAAAGCGCCCGTGGAATCAGGCCTTAAAGCACATTGGCGAAGACGTGGAGACATACGAGGTTCAAGAACTTGACAATTAACGAATTTGCCCTTTGAAAACCTTGGGGTAAAATACCTCAGGCTTCAATTATTATTAAACTTTTACTCGAAATTTTTTTGAACTGTCCTGTAATTGAGTATATACAAAGATAAATCATTTTATGAAATAAACTTTAGGGCTAACATCCTCTTCAGACATCATTGTTGCCAATATCAGTAGGATAGTATTTTTCAACACAAGTAATAATATTCCAAAAATACGGATCTTATAATTGTAAATTTTCCAAGCTAACCTTCCACAGTACTATTCAGTCCCGACCACGGACACTGCTTTTTTATTATTTTCCCAGAACTTAAAGCCCAAAACATCCGGTGAATACATATTAGTTATTCCTTTAAAATTGGCACACATCGTATGGGTACCGAATCCTTTATTACAAACTGAGTTTGTTTCTTAACAAACCAACATAAAAACACTCTAACCCTGGCGGTCTCTTCATTTGAGATAATGCCGTATTTACACTTAATGCCCTTGTAAAAGTTGTAACAACTTGAATCTAAAGGCAAAAGCCAGGAACGCACTACCCAGATTGCGCAGTTTGGACGCTTCTAAACTGTCTATCTCCCTAACTATGTTGCGTACGCGACGGACCATATTATCCCTGCCTGTAAAGGAACACCCCTTTCTGTTCTGTTGAAGATAGTGAGCAGATGACCGCCATAAGAGAGGGGACCTAGTCACTGGTAGCGGCCTGTTTTTTCATGAAGTAAGACCGGCTACCAGGAAAATACATGCTTTACCTTACTACGGGAGAGAAAATCTTTGCCACCATAATTGTCTTATTCTCTCTGATCCAAACGACCACCATGATTTCCACCAAGTCTTCTTACGGGTACCATTTGCACCCTCTAAGCTATGGGTACCATTTGTACCCACTAACCCCAAGAGAAACGATGCCAGGTTTTTTCAAAAAAGGTTTAGATGAGGAAAGTTTCTTTTTAACTAACAAGCAACAAGATATGACAAAAAATCAAACAGCAATTTCCAATCGTAGTCCTATTTCAAAAAACAAAACTCTGGCAAAGTTTTTCTTGCACACATCCTGCCTCATGACCCTGTCTAAACTGTTGCGTGCTGCGTACAAAGCAGTATATTTACACAAGGGGAAACAACAGAAAAATAAACGAATCATTAGAACCATGCAATATAACCATATACTCAAAAGTTCCGTCTTTCCAGATCAGTTTTCAAATTCAGAAGCTAACGAATTTTTAAAGTACAGTTTTTGCAAAGAAAATCATCGTCATAAACTTTCGTTCAAGGTATCAAAGTCTGCTGAACAGAAAGTCGATGGAATGTGTAAATATACTGAACATTTAGACCGCCAGGATTTTTATGCCGGATTTCATTGGTGAAGGCTATTTCAGATACGGTAGAGCACCTAGTCCCCAGGCCTTTACCGGCGCGGCCGCGAAATTCAATTTGGCGCCAAGATAGGGAGTGGAGTTTTTTCATAGAATAGACATAGAATGCGTGCTCCTATCTTTTCTCAGTAAAAATTGTCTCCACAAAATGGCGGATTTATAAGGGCTTTTTGGCTAGTTCCAGATTGCTGTGGTGAGTAATTTCGCGCGTTTGCACGGAGTGTGAATTGTTTTGTGTTTTTTTTTTAAATTTGCAAAAAAACAATTATATCGAGACTTAAAGTGAAAAAAAAAGTTTTTTTAAAGAAAACCCCATTGCCGTGTTTTTTTTTTACGAAAAGCAATAGTCCTGAACAGAATATATACAGAAATCGTCATTTGAAAATACATTTTCAACGTTAAAACCAAAACACAACACGAAGAAACAAGACAAACCCAATTTATAATAGAAATGGGTTCAGTAATATTTTTAAACTTACACAACTACTTTTTATATTTTCCTAGAAGTTGCTTGAGCTTGAGAAACAACGCTTTTGAAACCATGTTTTCGACGATTACTTAGGCGATTTACACTTTATCGACAACTAAATATTTTTGTTTCAAAAACATAAAAACACTTCGTTTAGATTGAAGAAAAACGAAACCCGAAGAAGAATGAACTATCATTCCGTAATTTCATAAAATATTAGCAAAACAGTTACGTTCAGAGCATGCAAAAATGTTTTACAAGAAAATTATATTTTATACGCAAAACTACTTTGTTTTTACAAGGCTGCACGATTTTCACCGTTTTTGTAACGACACATTTGCTTTGAGCCTTTAAAGAACTTAATATTTCGAATTATATCCCCAAACTGCAAATACAAAACGTTCTGACAACGATTCTTTGTAAAACGAAATGTTTATAGTTTGTAGTTTGCTGCACTCTACTCAAATTCAACATGGCTGATTTACAAGGGCATTTTGGTTCCCAACTTGGATACCGGTCACGTGACCAAACACACATCACAAGTCTAATATTTCTATGACTTCAATGGAGTTTATTATATTCTATATTCGACGTTTTTCTTCTTTTTGGTTAGGTGCGACTTTATATTGTCAAATGTAAGGTAACTTACTCTTTATCTGAAAAAAGATTTTACAGAAGAATTTTTCTCAAACATAGTTATAAAGACTTAAAGTTAATGTATATTAATATCTGTATATTTCAGTGAATTTAATTCACTGAATTATGCTTTAAAAGTAAAAAATGGCCAAGATAAGAAATTTTTGACACTGAACTTGTGTTAATTATAGTTTCAACTTCAATTTTGAAAATTGCAATAATAGGTATTACTGATTTATATTCAATAATTCACAGAGCGTGAACACCCGTATGGAATGTACAAATTATCGACTTTTTGATTGAAGTTCCGCTTGAATATTCAGGTAGTTGTATCCCTCGAAATCTGCAGTTATCTTGATATCTATCCCGGCATAGACCGTTCAACATTGCACTGTTTAATTAGCACTAAGTAGTCATAGTCATTATCATACCTCTGAGTATTTGAGATATTGCATATAATTAGTACTACAAATATATTTTCATGTGGTATGTGTAATTGAGTTTAATACCCCAAGTATCTAGCCCAGTGCCAGGTTCAGAGTCCTCACCTGTCTAGCATGCCCCTGAAACAACTTGGCTGAATCTACCACTACCAAAAAGATACGATTATAATTCAACAATATACAATCAAATTGTGTGCTAACATGCAAAATGGACTCTGCACAGTTTGTGCACTGCCTTTTCATTTCATACTGGGTGAACATTATCGTGAGGATGGCAAATTCACAACCAACGTGTCCTCTTTCACTACTTTCCTTTGAATTGTCTCGTTTCATAAGCTAACATACTTAGTAGTTCATGCTTACATTTTAACCGGGGCATACAAAGGTCCATTTTGCTTTATAGCGGTGCAATAGGGTTAGTACCCTAGGGGGGAGGGCCGATGGCCTTGTGTTGTGTGTGAAAAAATGTCAGCAAGGTAAAAATCATCATTCCTCAGTAGCATAACCCCTAAGAGCTGTGCCCGGCAAGAGCCAGGGGGTGTGCCTCGTCAAGGAAGGTCCCTGGGCTAATCTTTATGTAGCATTTGGAAAGCTCTCCCTGTTGACACTCTGAACAGTAGATCAAAGGGGCCTTTCATGGGGAGCACTGACACTTCATTCTACCCATAATTAAGATTCTTGGGAATGAGTACACCATATGTCCCTAGTGTGTAAATATCAATGTTTGCACTTTTATGAAATAAATGGAAAGAGCTATTTTTGCAGGTTATTCTTGACCCAAAAAGATTGATTATATCATCAGTTTTATATAACTTCTTAAAAACAATACTTTACTCTAAATCATTGAACTTAAAATCTAACTTAACCCAGAAATAGTTAAATACTTTGCATTCTATGGAATACATGGCTCATCTGTAACTTTACATATGCAATGAGTAAAATTAATATCGTATGTCATGTAATCTTCAAAAAATATGAAGGGGCCTTAGAACTCCTCTGCCAACTAAAGAAACACATTAAAGGGATGGCTTAGTCCACTACACCCTATGATAACTGCATGTTAATAACTAACATGACATTCATAAAGTTTGTATCCCACTATGTGTTCTTTTATGTCTTGCTGAAATACTTGAATATTTGAATTCTGCACAGACATGATATGACTTGGGTTGATTCTATTATGTGTTTTTTATGTGACAATAACTTGTTTAATCGTGAATATTGTTTGTTACAAACCTTATTCTTATTGTCAAACTCGCATACTGTAGTTTTTCAACAGTGTGCTCACTTGTCATTTATGGGTGCGAGAATTTTCTTAACAAGCTTCATATACACGATATGCTTGGCTGTATCACAATTTGTTGAAGTTGTATGTTGTTTAAATAAATTTTCCCATGTTGGTCAATGTTTGCCAGAATCATATTTTTTCACAAAGTCAGCATGGCATTCTCACATTAATAAAGTTTGTGAGTGTGGTGGTATCTTTAGTCCATTACACCCCCCTCCCGTTGCTATACACACCTGCCTATAAGACATTATAATTTGAAAATGGAAACAATATTTTCCACTATTCAGTTATAGCATTTTATTTCTTATTATTTATATGATAAGCTAAGCTAAGTAAAGCATACCAAGCTATGAAGCATCAAACGACTTTAACAACTTAGAACCAGACATTAGAAACCCTGACTCGTTATACAAGTTTAAAGCTGTATTAAAAAAACGCTATGTAGGCGAGAATTACATAGTAAACATAGTCTTAGTTCCATAACGTTTTGTATATAGGCTATATATAGTATAAGTATGTTAACACGCATGTTATTGTAGATTTGCATGTTATTTTGTAATATATATGTATTGAAGTTGAAATTTATAATGCAGGACCCCACTGAAAAACACTTCGGTGACGTGGGTATCCTGGACAAATTTAAATATAATAATAATGATAAAATATCGTCTGACAGATTAGCTTTCTAAAACTGCTAATAAAATGTTGTCAATTTATAATGCATTGTGACCACATTGGTATGTATCGTCCTGCTCAAATAAATGAAATAATATCATCTTCATCATGCCAAGTAATATTTAATTGTAGGCTCAGCCGCTCATAGCTTGCCAACTTCAGTAAAATAGTATAAATTTCATTGTTAAATAAACAACTCAGTCACAACCATCACTCACTCATGCAGTATACATCAACTTTAAAACTATGTTAAATTATGTTAGAGAAAAATTCTATTAGAAAATATTTTTTCAGATAAATTGTAACATATCTGACATTTCACAATATAAGTTCTACCAACCAAAACAGTAGAAAATATAGAATATAAACTGCATTAAACTGCACTCCTTAGCTTGGCGCCATATTGAATTAACAGCCGCACCAATAAAGGGCTGGGGACAAGGTGCTCTACCGTATCTGAAATAGCCTTCACCGACTTCATTGTATCCAGAACAATAAAACAAACAATGGCCTGGGTACATGTATCTACACATATACAGCATGTTCGCAGGCAAACAAGAAAAAACATCACCTGAAAGTAGACATTTCTGTGGCCTTTGTATATCCATTAACTGAATACCATTACAGGGCCATATTTATCCATCATAGTCTCTTTGTATCCATTTAGTATAGCCACAAATATCCATTACTGACCATAACATTCGATCCATTCATTTTGTCCGATGCATCCAATTTCATCATCATCGTCCTTGTCATTTGATACATTTTCTTTAATTTCATGGATTTGTGATCTTACTGTCTTTGATGTATTGTCATTGTTGGAAAATAAAGATATTTCCCCACGTATTGCTCTTTGAGGTGTCTTATCTTGGTAACATGATATTTTATAAATTACTATTCCATCACCATGTTCAGTAATGATCTGTAAAACAAAGCAAAACAATAATTAACCCATTAAGTGCCAGCGCTCTCCCCTTGACGAGTAAAATCGTCTGGCGTTAGACAGAGTAAAATACGCCAGAGTAAAATACTCTGGCGTTAGACAGAGTAAAATACTAAAGTAGGGTGCATCAGGGTGCAATGCAACTCAATGGGTTAACTAGACACATGGGCTGATAGGCCAGTTAACTGGACACATGAGCAGATAGGCCAGTTAACTAGACACATGGGCAGATAGGCCAGTTAACACATTCAGGGTTCGTAGTCTCCAAGACCAAAAAAGTTCAAAGACTTTCAAAGATTTTTTCTGCCTATTTTCAAAGACCTTTGAGAGCAATCAGCTGTCGAAAAATTGCGAGTGTAAGCACCATTTTTACCCAGTAATTAGTCCGTATTTGACGGGTCAAATCACATCCTAAAATGCGCATTTTCGTCGATATTTGCGATTCAATCAATCTATTTTATTAGCTAGGAAATCGTATAATTAATTCCTCACTAAATAATTTAAAGACTTTTAAAGACTTTCTTTGCTTTTTCACAGACCTCAAAGACCTGCATTCCAATTTAAAGACTTTCAAGGATTTCAAAGACTGCTACGAACCCTGCCATTAAGCGCTAGCGCTCTCCCCTTGACGAGTAAAATTGTCTGGCGTTAGACAGAGTAAAATAGTCTGGTGTTAGACAGAGTAAAATACTAAAGTAGGGTGCATCAGGGTGCAATGCAACTCAATGGGTTAATTCAGATATAAAATTTAAACCATTTTGTTGTGCTGTACCATGAACCATGCTCTACTCGAGTATTTTACTGTCCAACGCAAGATGATTTTATGCTTCGTTATGAGACTACTGTCCCTGCGTCTAATTACTCATTAACTGGCAGTGCTCCCCCTTATTGATAACATTGTCTGATGTTAGACAGAGTTGGTATAGTATGTAAATTACAGTGCAAATCAACTTAATGGCTAACAGTGCTGTTCACATGATCACAGTTTGTCAGGACAGGATGAAATGTGGGATGATTTTCATGTACTGAAATAAGCCACTAGGCTTGAACAAAAAGTTCAAAGACGGTTTTAAAATAACTGAAACTATGTTGTGTACATGATCTCATAGTTAAGATTATTATTCTTGCTGCTTGATTCAACCAATTATAAGTCTATAACTAGAAAATAATGTGAACCTTCTGAAAATTGTCAAAAACTGTTCTTGTAATCAAAACAATTACTTTGATGTGATTTTTTCTGTGATGGTGTTGTGTACTCAGTTGAATATGTTTGTGATGTTACTCTGAGTGGATATCCACACCGGCGAAGCTTGAATAATATGCCTGGCCAAGGTGGGAATCGAACCAACCACCTTTGGAATACTAGCCCTATGTGGTCAGGTGACCAGACATAGCTCAGTTGGCACAGCATTGGGTGGTATTCTTGTAGGTTCGATTCCCACCATGGCCAAGTAAATTTTTCAACCTTTCCTTCAATCAATCAATCAATCAATCAATCAATCAATCAATCAATCAATCAATCAATCAAACAAAACTATTACATTCGAATGATAAAACATGAATTGAAAAATGTTGGTCATTTGCAAACGGTATCAGATGCAACCCTAGCCTAACCAAAGGCAGCCACAGGAAATTTTTGAAAGTGCACCAAGAGATTCAAAACGTTCCAAAAATTGTTGAAAACTGTTCTTTTAAACTATTTTCATTTAACAAGCGCTCTCCCATTGACGAGTAAAATCGTCTGGCGTTATTAGAGTAAAATAATCTGGCGTTAGACAGAGTAAAATAATAAAGTAGGGTGCATCAGGGCGCAATGCGACTCAATGGGTTAATAAAAACAATTACTTTATCGCGATAAAAATATGAATTGGAATATTTTGGTCTAATTGAAAGGTGATGGGGGCACAGGCAATCCTACACTAATCAAAGTGGAGACCACAGGATATGCAAGACTTGCTTTAATTGTTTTCTGTCAGTGTTTATATGTATTGATCTAGCACAGTGTAAATAATGTCAATCCATCATAGTAAATAATACAGAAAGAAACTGAAGAAAAACAATTAAAGCAAGTCTTGCATTTTAGGTTCTGTTTTTTACCGAGATTTTCTTAAGTTGACAAGTCTCTCTTTCTCGCTCCGGCTCTCTGTGCTACGTCATGTAATGTACACTATAGTGGATCAATACTATATGGCAATGAAAGAGAGACTTGCAGCAAGTCTAACTATAAACTTTCTGAAAATTGTCCAAACCATTATTTTCATCAAAACAATTTCAAGTGATAAAAACATCAATTGAAAAATATTGTTCATTTGGGACATGACATTTTTGAAAAATTTCAAAAGTGAGATTTTGAAACTGACCTTTTCAAGTAGTTCCTCTGCAAATCCAACTGAACTAACACATTAACGCATGACTGCATAATCTCTGAGAAAAATTTCCAATGATACATTCAATGTCCTTGTACACATTGCTGGTGTATAGTTTCTTTGTCAAGCCATAGAGTTGAATTGGTGTTATCTAAGAAAAATAAGATTAACTCATTAAGCTGCAAAGTAACCAAACATCTGATCATTTTACTCGTCAAAAGAAAAGTGGCAATGTATCTTGTTAACACATTAATGCACCAAAATGTGCCCTACTTTTTTTTTATTTCACCCTGTCTAATGCTAGCCTGCTCACAGACATTGTAGTTCTTACACCAAGCGACGAAATACTACCGTCTGCTTACCCAAGCGCCAAACTGAATTCCACTATGTTGACCAATCAGAATTTACCTTCCAAATTCTGGAAAGTGATGTCAGTTGATTTAGGAGCGGAATAAATATAAATATATATTTTGAAAGCAGTCGTTGCTTGAATTTTGGTCAAAATTGCATATAAATTGAATTTAAAGATATTGATACTTGTCCAGGTAATAAAATGCACCATTAATGATGTTCGGTTATATTTAAAATGCGGACAGGATTGGCATATTTATACTGTATGAAATATCTTAGTCAGACAGCATATGCGAAATATATTTCGCCGAAATTTTAACGGTTTATCTTTATAAGACAACAGAAGTCGGAAGACAGAAAATTTTATTTTATACTGTGGCTTAGAAAGCGAAATATTAGCTTCAAAGTAAACTAAATTGCTGTAAACACAACACAAACCCTGAGAAACTTGTATTAAAATTGTGCTGTGATGAATTTTCCAATTCGCCCAAACTTCAAAACGTTTATACTCTAACTTGGCTATACTTTTCTACATGACAATGAGAGCTTAATCTTTTAGAAGTTTTCGTCGAAGTCATGGCATATAGGAAGTATCAAGAGCAACATTTGGACATATCCTCATACACTCGAGTTTCCCGACTGATTGTTTGTCATTGTTAACAAAAATTTAAATTTTGCCTACTGCATTGTTTTAGCACTTTATATACACAGATTGTTTGCTGAACATGCGAGAAGAAGATCACAATATTATTCTACATAAACATTGTGAAGTTCAACGCTATAGTTTCCAAAATATATCCACACAAGTAAACAAATTTCAAGTTTCAACCCAAACAATATATTCCAATACATGTGCAAGGGGCTTTCCCCAGTAGCTAATGTCTCAATAACGCGGCTTCCAATTGGCTCTAACTTTTTTGAACACTGCCAGATGATTGGCTCCTAAAACAAAGGGAATTGAATATGCAGCTCAGTAAGCAGGCGGGAGTATTTCGTCGCTTGGCATAAGAACTACAACATCTGTGAGCAGGCTAGTCTAATGCCAGATGATTTTACTCATCAAAAGGACAGTGTTGCTTAACCAAATAATGGATTGAAAATCTCAATATTATAGAGCTCTGAGTATTTTAACAAAATACAAAACAAGTGTAACACCAATGATCAATACTATTTTTATATTACCGTTGATGCAATAGAAGTCAGAGGTGTAACTTAACACTTGCCCGGGGCAAGTGAATACACTTGCCCGGGGCAAGTGAATATCATGACGGGCAAGTAAACGTTTTATATTGCATGCCCGATTGGGCAAGTTGCCTTGCCACAAAAAGCTGGGCATTTTAAGTTTTCATTGTCACAGAAATTTTTTATAGTGCATGTACTGATTCAAATTTTGTTTTTTGTTTTTTCCTCCGAAGTTAGATCTGAGGGAGGCAGTATAACAAGCCATATAGAGCGGTGGGAGAACGGGTCGACACTGTTGTCCCCTTAATTTATACCCCCTACAAGTGGCCATTGTCTGTGGCATGCAAGTGAATTTTATTCAGGGCAACTAATTTTCATGTCCAACTTGCCCTGAGGGCAAGTGGTCAAAAAAGTAAAGTTACACCACTGGGAAGTGTTGATAAAATATTCCTTGAATTCCTTTCCTCAAGTTGATCAATTCATACAAATTCAAATTTCTTTTTACTTCCTGTGCGTTTCCTATTGGTCAATCGGTTCTGAAACGAAATCTAATTGGCTCATCAAAAAGTAACAGGAAGTTGATCAATTTTCTATCAAATGAATTGATCAACTTGAGGAAAGGAATTGGTGCAATATTTTATCAACACTTCCATTGCATTGGCAGTAATACATTGTGTAACCTAACTAGTTTATCCTGATGATGACCGAAATATAGTTTAGAGTGGATCAATATCGCAAATAGAGAATACTGATATACCACCATCAGAATACCAGTATTTTTAAAGTTGTTTTTTTAAAGCCAAACTAAAATGCTGACCGTCAAGGAAAATCAAGTTTTGACAAAATATTAATGTGGCACATACTGTTATTAGTGCAAATGTCACAAGATTTGCATTATCAAGCTATGTTAACGGCACTAAGCGGCAATTATTAGTAGGCCGTCGATTGGGCGTCGAAGTGTTGAATCTGTGAGTATTGAACTTTACTTTCTAAACATGATTGTAAGCAAGCTTGACTTGAAATAGCATTTCATTTTGGTATTAGGCAGCAAAGTACCGAAATGTTGATATATTGGTATTTTTAAATTGTCAATATCGCCAAACCGGTATCTAAACAAATACCAGTATACTGGATATTTCCGGTATATCAATCTCACTCTAATATAGTTGAAATGAAATTAAATATAAAAATGTTATTGACCTTTGGAGTCAAGCCCTGATCAAACGAGAACACAAATCATCGCAAGTAAACTTGTTCCAACTTGCCCTGAAATGCGATGGGACTGATCAAACAATAAGCAAGTTTTTGAAACAATTTGCAATATTTGGTCTGTGTGCGGGTAATACAATCTCTTAGCCAGGGTCTTTCCATTTGGGGAGAAAAGACGCTTGTCGGTACAAGGTTGCACATGACTTTAAAAACGTGCAAAAATGTAAACAAAATATGGCCTTTATTTAACCTATTTAAAATGAGTGCAAATCAAGACATATCAGACAAGTCTACCAACTAATAAGTTTTTAAATTAAATTTTCATAACATACTATAAGATGAAATTCATTGTTTCAAAAGAAAACAAATTTTCTTGACTATTTGCAACAATTTATTCAACTTTTCAAGAATAACTCCAAAAGCACAGCAGGGCAATGGAAGTAAACATTTCACAATAATGTAGAGTGAAACACACTTAAAAACTAACCTTTCAAACACTTCCTCTGCAAATCCAACTGAACTAACACGTGCCAACATGACTGCATAATCTCGGAGAAAAATTCCCAATGATACATCCGATGTCCTTGTACATATTGCGGATGTATAGTTTCTTTGTCAAGCCAGATAGTTGAATTGCTGTTCTCTAAGAAAAATAGGATTAATTCATTAAGCTACAAAGGAACTGAAACGTCCGATAATTTTACTCAATCAAAAGGAAAGTCTTGTGCATTAATAGGTTAACCAAACTATTTTGGCAATGTATCTTGTTAACACATTAAACTACCAGGGCTTGAAATAATGTTCCCAATCATGGTGATCGCCGATCACGACTTTTTGCTGATCAAATAAAAATCTGGCCGATCAGGAACATTTGCCTGAGTTTTCTTAAAAAAAATTCTAAATGTGCCAGTTGAATACACATCTCAACAGGACAGGGCTGTACACAGGATTTTTTCACCAGGGGGGCAGGGCAGTAAGGCCTATATGCCAAAAAATTCCAGATATCAAAATAATAATTAACCCATTAAGCGCCAGCGTTCTCCCCTTGACAAATAAAATCGTCTGGCGTTAGACAGAGTAAAATAGTCTGGCGTTAGACAGCGTAAAATACTAAAATAGGGTGCATCAGGGCGCAATGCGACTCAATGGGTTAACTAGACACATGGGCAGATAGGCCAGTTAACCCATTAAGCGCCAGCGCGCTCCCCTTGACGAGTAAAATCGTCTGGCGTTTGACAGAGTAAAATACTAAAGTAGGGTGACATTCCAAAAGTCATAAATACCCCCCCCCCCCAAGAGCATTAGAGCTGTGCGGTTCCAAAAATTTTATCTCGGTTCCGTTTTCGGTTCTTTTGGAACAAAAAACCTCGGTTCGGTTGTTTTCAAAAAAGAACAGTACAAATGTAAGAACACATTTATGTATGTTTCAAGCATTTTTACTAAATAGACAAATTCATGCCTTTGTAAGTTTGTATAAATCTCTGAATATTTTAAAATCAATAATCAATCAAATCTCAATATATCAACACAAAAACAATCCCAAATACCTTAAACAAGACAAACCAGAGATATTCCAAGCAATTTCTAAACTAATCGATACAGCTGATGCAACATTTATACCAAGATGGAGTATGAAATACAACATAAAGTTTGAGCCAAGTCAAGCTTGAAAAACATCGAATCTCGACCACAAATGCAATCCACAACCTTCTTTAAGGAGTTACAAACACGCTGTTGTCCATTTGGCAAAGATCAGAGGTTATATTGGGATAAGATTCTACAAAAATAATGAAAGTTTTTAGGACGAAAATTGTCTCTGAAAGCACGAGGGCACAAGCTTCAATCTTTCCCGCGAAATTCCCTGGTGCTACCACTTTCAAACAAGAAATATCCTTCCTGTGATTTTCAAAACCATATCAAAACACATTCATGACTATTAAAATGACTGATGAGTGCTTCCACTTGCAAAGATTTTTCCCTGCAGCAAGGAAATTATGTGTGCTCTAAAAACCTCCTAAAATGCTCATGTTTTGTGTTTTTGGATTCATGTTTGCTCACCCTCTATATATCAACCCACCCTTTTCAGTACACCTCCAATTATTACAAAAATCCCAATCCCTTCTTTTTTGTGACGATTACGGGGGGGGGGGGGGTAATGGTTTCAGAGTACTGTAAACTTTGCACTGTAGAAATTCTATGTATTATTAATATTAGGCCCTGTTTACACTATACCGGATTCGCTGGTCACAACATCTTCTTTTGCCGTTTCGGAGCAATGGTTAGTAGCAAATGCTTATTAGTTTGACATAACTGGCATGTTTATTTGGGTCTCTGAGATTAAAAATCTTCACAGCCTTTTGAGACCTACACAATTTGACCCACTCCGATAGCAAGCCGGTATAGTGTAAACAGGGCTTTAGGTTGTAGACTTGTACAAATATCCATCATGTCTATTTCAGTCCTGAGTCCTCTACTCCAAACTTTCTGAAAGTTGTCGAAAACCTTTTTTCGCATCAAAAGAATTACTTTCGAATGAAAAACATGTTTTAAAAAATTGTGATCAAAGGCAAACAGAGGACCACATGGTACACTTCGCTTAGCGAAGGGGGAACACAGGAAATTTTTCAAAAATTGAAAAACCATGCGAAACTACACCCTAAGACCACACTCTAGGACCACACCTTAGGCTTAGCAACCTCTCGTAGGAACACTTTAAAAATTCAAAAACATGAACTTCATTGTTTTTACTGGCATTTCTTTTTTGGGAAATGGCATTTCAGAGAGCCAAAATTAAAAAAATTTATGTGTGAGCATGCCTAGCCAGCATAGCCGGCTCTTTTATAAGAAGAGCCTGTCCGAAAGCCCTAGTAAAATTGATTACGCCTGCTTAGTTAATATTCCATATTAACAGTTGCCCACTTGAAATAGTTTTACATAAATGATGGCATGAAATATTATTCGTTGCATATTTACGATAGCCTGCGCTACATGCTTTCAATAAATTTCTTACAATAGATGGATAGCGATTCAACTGCTTGGAAATACAAGTAAAGCGTCGGCATTTTGAGCGAAGGCCCTTCGACTTTGTCTGGAATTTAACAGTAGAGGAAGACCGTTCAAAATTATATTATGCTTTGCACTTGTATGGCTGTACTACAGTATAAATATTGCAGTATTAAATATAATATAAAATGACTTAGAAAAAAAGTAAATAGACCCCTTCCCATGTTATACACATTGGCAGGCAAATGTATTTTGAAAGCTCCAAAGAGAGCTTCGAATTATTATGGTGTAAACACAATGGGGGATGTATTATTTTATATAATTGTAATTTGCCAGCCAGCAAAATGTAAACAAGGCAAGGACAGCCAAGGTTTTATACTCTATACTATAGTGAGCATATGGTAAAATCATACGACATACACAGTATTAATAGCAGCGTGGCTTACCTTATTCTGTTTAGATACCGGTATATGTTACACATTTTACACTTTGTCTTTTGAATTTTATATTTTAGCTGACAGGTTTACACTTTAATATAGCGACGCCGTTTGTTTTTACTGCCGTTTACTTTTAAATTTTTGAATAAATTGCCTGCAGAGAGTGATCAATTTTACTAGCGCTTCCGGGCAGGCTCTCTTTCAATTATAGAGCCGGCCACACTGGCTAGAGCATGCCCTGTAGAGCTGTGCGGGAAAAAAAATTTGGTTCTTCTGGTACTTTTTTCAGCACCGAAAAATTATATGCAAAAGAACCGGTAGTTTCGGTTTTAATTTCCCATTTAATGCCCGCTAAACGCCCACCTGATTGTAGGTTGAAATGTTTGGAAAATAACAAGATTGTGCTCTTTGTGTACAATATGCACTGTACTAAGTGCTCAAATAGTTGATATTTTAGTTGTGATAGTTATTGTTGTGAACTTGCTTTAATTTTCTTTTAAAAGTAAGAAATATTTCATCTTTATAAATAAATTCCAATTGTTCTTTTAAAATATTCAGAGATTTATACAATACATAAATGTTTTAACATACATAAATGTGTTTTACATTTGTACTTTTGTACTGTTCTTTTTTGAAAATAACTGAACCGAGGTTTTTTTGTTCCAAAAGAACCAAAACCGGAACCAAGATAAAATTTTTGGAACCGCACAACTCTAATGCCCTGGGGGTGTATATTTATGACTTTTAGAATGTCATTATTAATTATTATTTTGATATCTGGAACTTTTTTGGCATGTAGGCCTTACTACCCCCTGGTGAAAAAAATCCTGTGTACAGCCCTGTCCTATTGAGATGTGTATTCAACTGGCACATTTAGAATTTTTTTTCAAGAAAATTCGGACAAATGTTCCTGATCAGCCAGATTTTTATTTGATCTGTAAAAGTCCCAATCTGCGACCACTGTGATCAGGAACGTTATTTCAAGCTCTGGTATAATGTGTTAACAAGATACATTGCCAAAATAGTTTGGTTAACCTATTGATGTACATGGATAGGGTGGGACATACTGCCAAATGTTGTCTCCCACTTAGCCAGATAATAGGAACAGAGCCCAATTTTTCAGAATTCTGATGGTCAGAAAACAACATTCTAACATATCAGAGACCCAGACCCTGCCAATGTTTTTGCTCTACAGCCTGAAGGCCCCCATTAGAAATGAGCCGATTAATCTGTTTTTCTGATTAACCAGCCAATAATAGGCCGATTATTAAAAATAATTGGCTGTCTGCCGATTATTTCAAAATTTTATATTTCTAATAGTAAATAAGTAATGCCTTTTGTTTTTGTGACTTGAATGTTTTTAATTGCGTGCATATTAACTGTTTTTATTGAAACGCAAATGTGGATGACATATCAGTCTCACAAAGAAAAAAACTTGACAATGATAATAGACAAAAATAGAACTGGTAATCCATTTGTGATAAGTGAAGACACCTAGATGGGCATGTATAATATGCAGCAATAGCTGTTTTTGTTCTATCAAGTTGAGAGAAATAAGTTCTCTTATTTCTTTTAAGAAATTAATTTGTAAAGTTGAAGATGGAATAATAAAATAATCAAATAAAACATGTGTATTCCAAATTTTAATGTTTCAATGTTTGTAAGCTTTGTGATATATGATACACACCGCAAACGTACATGTCACTATTAACACCTTTTCACATCTTCCTACATTATAAACAATCTATGTAATCGAAGCACTGCCTCTGACAATAAGTTTTCACAATATCCTGCATTTTGGCCTTTCAATAGAGTATGGCTAAAAAGAGCAGTATGTGGGATTTCTTTAAAATTCTCGACACGGCACGATTTCCAGTTTATTGTTGACCGCTGTGTTATCGAATCGCGTCCGGTGAATATTTGTGGGCTTTAAATAAATAACACTCACATGCATTCAAAATGTTCGCATGAAGTTTGCCTTAAGGTTTAACCCATTGAGTCGCATTGCATCCTGATGCACCCTACTTTAGTATTTTACTCTGTCTAACGCCAGACGATTTTACTTGTCAAGGGGAGAACGCTGGTGCTTAACGAGTAATTAACAATCATCTTTAGAAACGTTGGTGTACATCAGCTATAGTGAGTTAATATTAATATATATCAAATTTAATTTGTAACTTGAGCCAGACATGGAGCAATTATATATGCAGAAATAATCGGCTTTGGCCGAGTAATTGGTCGATTATACGTCGTTAGTCAGCCATCGATTAATCAGATCGGCTAATCGGCAATTTTAGTGATCGACTCATCTCTACGAAATTGAAAATAACCCCCTCCCCCCCCCCTTCGGACATCCTTGAATGGTTCATCTAAAGGCTACCTCGCCGTTTGAAAACATCACTGAAAATTTGACTACGTTCACACTACGTGCGAGCGAACTAATGCGGGCAGAATTTACATGTGTTCACACTACCGCCATTACAGTTTGTTTACAAATCGAAGTAGCACTCGTGTAAACCCAAAATATTTCAAATAGACCCAAGAAATTTAACTGAAAAGCATTCGAGTTTACACGTTTGTGTTCACATGAAGCTATCAAGCGCTCCGCCGTTTTCACCTCGCTCCGTTTAGAAACCGTGCTCCGTTTAGAAACCGTGCTCAAATTGTTACGGCAAAAGTGACGTGAAAGTTTTCAAACGATTTCGCTCCAGCGTAGAGTGAATTAGTGATGGCTTATTGTGACTTTTCTATGCTGTTTTCAAATAGTTCCGGCGTGGCGGAACACTTGGCGGCTTCTTGTGACATGCGAACACAAACACGTGGTAGGTTTTGTCGGATAATTTGCGGAAATTCACTTCGAAATTCGTTCAAGTAAAATTTGAACTGAAATTCGATGTAACTTGCGACTGATTGACAAGCGTTGCTATATTTACTTATACATGTTAATGCATTTTTTAGTATTACTGCATTCCTCAACCTCGCCCTTAATATGAAAGCCATTTCTATTTTCTAGACACGCATCTTGCAAGGAAGCTTTATTGACTATATACTAAAACAAATTGTTTTGAGTTCAGTTCACATAGCAGTCTCTTAATTCGAGCAACAGTTTAATAACTATTGTTTTTAACACTTGAATAAATCAAACTTATATATACGAACGAAAACTACAAACTATATAAATAAAGCGTGTCAATTTTCGATAGATACATTTTCGATAAAGCGTGTCAATTTTCGACAGGATACGCTGTTACAGCGAGTTAGTTTTTGGTGGCCATGCATGCAAAAGTGGGCCGCTTATTTTGCTTACAAGTTACGTGGACGTATAATTTTTGCTGTTACATAAACGTTCCGGTGTTCAAGAGCTACATATAGATGATAAAAATTGCGTGCTCATTATAATCGCCGATCACATAGCTTTTTCACAGTCTCAAACCTTCAGACAAACATATCCACATCCTAAGACATTTTAGCTCCCTCCCCCTTCGGACAGCAAAAATTTCCTCCGTAGGGGGTATGGATCTTTTCTGGAACGACCCATTGGGGTTGGGGGCCCCAGGGTTCAACCGGTCCAAGCCCATAGTAGTTACGCCACTGCCCCTGAGTAGATTGATCTAGTAAGTTCATTGGCGAAGTAATTTTCAAGAAATATATTGTGTAAGTTGAGAAAATCAAAGTTAAAGTTTATGTAAATCAAGGGAAATCTCTATCACATATAAAGATACGACATGCTTATGATTTTTCTTTGTGTTTTCCTCATGAATTATCAATGAGTTTATGAAATTACTTTTATTTGTCTTTTACCGCATACAGGTAAGCATGTTTTTCAGACAATGGCCAAATATATTTCTTGCCGATCAAGACGAATGACCACATTGCTTCTTTGCCGATCAAAAAACAATTTCCTGTCGATCATTGATCGGCTGTTATTTCAGGCCCTGAACTACAATGCACCCAATTGTGCCCTACTTTTTATTTTACATGAAAAGGGACAAGAAGGACCACAAAAATGTGAGCAAAGCCACAATTGTATTTATGTCCTAACTCCCTGCCCTTTTTTAAACAAAGGTAAGCCGGACCAGAAAGTAAAGATTAACTTGAAGTGGCCTTATTCCAAACTACGGATCTTGTTTAAAATTTAAAACCAATAGACAATTCCTGTTATTACATTTCCGTAGCGCTTTGCATTGTGCTTATACTGGTATCACTGATAAAGATAGCAGCCCAGACTGCAAAGTTTGGAAATTGCACAAGAAAGATTTCGAAAATTTAATAGTAAATATATAGAAAGCATAAAAAATGCGCGCGGAAGATCTTCTTCCGCACGTGGTGGAGAAAATGCAGTCTGGATAGCAGCCTCGAATAAAAATATTGAATGTTTTCGCAAATATTTTGTTGTTGGCTATCATGCACCTGACCCTAGTTTTTAGTTCTTGCACGGGCCAGGACAAAAAATAAGCCATCTTGAATGATACCACTATAACCACAATGCAAAGCGCTACGAAAACGTATTAAATAAATATTTTAAAGGTGAATTGTCAATTCAAAATCTCAATATTATAAAACCCTGTATTAAAAAGCAATATAATTTGACACATCTTTCATACATCACAATATATCAACACAAAAACAATCCCAAATACCTTAAAGAAGAGAAACCAGAGGAATTCCAAGCAATTTCTAAACTAATCGATGCAGCCGATGCAACATTTATACCAAGATGGAGTGTGAAATACAACATAAAGTTTGAGCCAAGATAAGCTTGAAAAACATCGAATCTCGACCACAAATGCAATCCACAACTTTCTTTAAGGAGTTACAAACACATTGTCGTCCATTTGCCAAAAATTAGAGGTTATATTGGGATAAGATTCTACAAAAATAATGAAAGTTTTTAGGACGAAAACTTTCGCTGAAAGCACGAGGGCACAAGCTTCAATCTTTCCCGCGAAATTTCCTGGTGCTACCACTTTCAAACAAGAAATATCCTTCCTGCGATTTTCAAAACCATATCAAAACACATTCATGACTATTAAAATCACTGATGAGTGCTTCCAGCCTTCCACTTGCAAAGATTTTTCCCTGCAGCAAGGAAATTATATGTGCTCTAAAGACCTCCTAAAATGCTCATGTTTTGTGTTTTTGGATTCATGTTTGCTCAGCCTCTATATATCAACCCACCCTTTTCAGTACACCTCTAATTATTACAAAAATCCCAATCCCTTCTTTTTTGTGACAGTTTGTCGCCCCACAGAGAAAGCGAGGGGGTGGGGGTAATGGCTTCAGAGTACTGTAGACTTTGCACTGTAAAAATTCTATGTATTATTATTAGATTGTAGACTTGTACAAATATCCATCATGTCTATTTCAGTCCTGAGTCCTCTACTCCAAACTTTCTGAAAGTTGTCGAAAACCTTTTTTCGCATCAAAAGAATTACTTTCGAATGAAAAACATGTTTTAAAAAATTGTGATCAAAGGCAAACAGATGACCACATGACCAGTGTACCAACACTAGGCTTAGCAAAGGGGGAACACAGGAAATTTTTCAAAAATTGAAAAACCACATAAAACTAGTCCAAACTTTCAGAAAATTGTTGAAAACCTTTCCTCTAATCAAAATTATTACTTTTGATATCTGAAAACATATTTTAAGGTTTTTTTTTCCAAATGCAAAGTGGGGGGACCACAACCCTAGGCCAAGCAACCTCTCTTAGCAACACTTCAAAAATTAAGAACATTCAAAAATTTATGAACATATCAACTTCATTGTTTTTACTACATCTCGCTCACTGGTCACAATTGGGCCCTGTTCGTATTACCTGGCTAAGTTAGAGGCAACATTTGGCAGTATGTTCCATCCTATCCTGCCACTATGCTGGCTAAACACGAGGTTTCCATTGCCAGAATCCTGGCTATAGGAGCCAATAATTTACCATATATGCATCCCAACAAGGCAATATGAATTTGGCTTCAAGCATGTTTTCTGGATAGCCTAGATTATACAAACAGGTCCACAACTGGAACATTTTAGCACATGGAGCCCATCCCAGGTCTTATTGAAGTTGTGTATTAGAATTACATATGAAATATATAGCTCAGTGTTGAAGACTGCGATTTATGAATTACCAAAATACCTGTGCACAATTTAATACTTTACATATATTATATAATGCAATTCCATATTGCCCCCCAGTAACCTCACAAATAGGCTTCCCTTCCAAAAATAAGGCCTCCCTTCCAAAAGTACTGGAAGGGCTCCCTTCCAAAATTAAGGCTTCCCTTCCAAAAATAAGCTCTCCTGTAAGGGCTGCCAGAATGGGCCATGTTAGCCCAGCCAACATGGCTGGATTTTCTTTGCGGGGCTTAAGTTTGTCATTTGCCTCACACAAGTCAGGCTAACCTGAGGCCCACCAAGGGGTTATGACCAGACAGGCGACAAGGAATCTTATGCCTTTGGGACTCCCAATATTTTGCGAAGTTTCTGCTACTGTCTAAAAGTGCCTCAACCTATTCGAAAAATAGCGGGAAGAACAAGGTGGAATTTCGTTCTCAACCAATAAGCGCTTTTGTTTACATTTCTGCTCAAAGCAGAATTTGTAAAACACTTCATCACATGGAATTAAACAAACATTTGGAAATCATATGGGGTCACTTCAGAGCTTTGCTGCAAACGTTTTTTTCCAAGCCCTTTCCCCCCCCCCCCCCAATGAAATTGACATATATTGAAAAGATATAGGTATTTTGCCTTGCGCAAGCTTAAATACTAACCCTCAAATTTGTAGGTTCCGAACAGATTGAACACTTTATATTTGTCCTAAATGAAAGGCGCCTACTTGCATACTATCCGCTGACCACGATCAATAGTAAAATGTGAAATGAACAATTTTTCTATTTTTTTTTTCTGCGAAAACCATCAGCCAAACATTATTTATATCACATCTTTATCAGTTATGAGATGAAATGAGGTATTTATCTGTATTGAACAAATTCATTACGTCCGTCTGCTGGTAAGTAACATGCATGCACACCACAGATGCCATCACCATCGAAATTCTGTGGCGACTTCTTTCAAGTAATTCACTGGCAATTCCCTTGTTGATTATGATTAAAATATAAACTTTGCTGTGGCCATCACTGTGTGCAAGTCGCGAGTGTCAGGGGGCCTGTGTTCACCATTTTGTCCCAGGGCCTGCGGTTGCCTCTCATCAGCCTTGCTCCCTTCTGAAAGTAAGGCCTCCCTTCTGAAAGTAAGGCCTCCCTTCATGCTAGTTAGAAGCCAGTCATCCAAGTGATTTTAAACTTCTTATTTCAGCTAATTCTAACCATGATATTCCTATTAGAGAAAGCTTACTAATTGCTCAAACTAAACCATGGCTTAATAATGTTTGATCTTTTCCTTTAACACTCTTCTGTTCTAAGTGTTTCCTCTTGTTAATTTACTAACTACCATGAACATTGTATCCTTCTAATTTGTATCTTTGTAATTGTATATCATATACTGCGGATTCAGGTAGACCGTTTAATGCGAATAGTGGTCGCGTTAGTTTTAACAGTTGTACAATGATGTTTCTAGGCAGATTTTCGACGTTTCTAAGGCGTGGCTTCAACATTTATTTTTAAAATTTGAACGTTGTAATTACAAGGTAATTGCCAGATAGTATACTTCAAAATAAGGTTTCCGTTTATATATAAATTTTTTAAATAAGTTAGGGTTACGTTAGGGTTTAGTTTTGTGTTAGGATGATTTTTTCTATGTTATAAAAACGGAAACCTTATTTTGAAGTATACTATTTAGCAATTACCTTGTAATTACGTTCAAATTTTAAAAATAAATGCTGAAGCCACGCCTTAGAAAACTCGAAAATCTGCCTAGAAACGTCATCGTACAACTGTTAAAACTAACACGACAACTATTCGCATTAAACGGTCTACCTGAATCCGCAGTATTTTTTAAAATTTGTTGTAAAATAGATGAAATAGGTTAACTGTATTTAGTCTGATGATGTCACTTGCAATGTGATGAAACATTACTCAATAAATATTTTGAATTCCAAAACGTTTTTGAACACTTTTACAAATTATTTGCTGAATAATAATGTTTTTAACTAGAATTATATATCAATTTCATGGCAAAAAATAAAAAAAACAGCTTGCAGCAAAGTTCTGAAGTGACCCCATATGATTCCCAAATGTTTGTTTACAAATTCCATGTGATGACATGTTTTACGCATTCTGATTGGCTTAGAGCAAAATTGTAAACAAAAGCACTGATTGGTTGAGAATGAAATTCCAGCTTGTTAGCGGGAAGTGAAACACACTTAATAACTGACCTTTCAAGTACTTCCTCTGCAAATCCAACTGAACTATAACACATCTAAATAATCTCGGAGACAGATTTCCAAGGATACATTCAATTGCCTTGTACACATTGTTGGTACTGTTAAGCCAGATAGTTGAATTACTGTTCTCTAAAATAAATAGAACTAGGAGTTACTATCGCAAGGAAAGTGCTGCCGTTTGGCGACATGAACTGAATGCAAAAGAATAACTTCTAGACAATTCTCTAAAGGGAAGTTTACATTTGACCCAATGCCCTCATTTCCAGGTTTTATCATTGGTAGTATAGCAGGCCTGCACATGAACGTTATGTCCCTTATATTTATGATTTAAAGACCAATCACAAACTTATTATTAAACTGTGTGCACGGAACACGAGTAAATAACCAACATAAAAATGAGGCCATTAGTTGACTGGGTCAAAAGTGGATAAACAGCATACCCATTAGCCTACGGTATAGACCCCAGCAGAAAAATGTGTTTCTGCTGGGCCGGGGTCTACACCGTAGGCTACACACCCATTAGCTGGTAATGCACCCTATTTTAGTATTAACTTGTGTAACCCCAGACAAATTTACACTCTGTAACGCCCCAAGCATTTTACTTGTCAGTGTTAGAGTACTGTCAGTATTAAAATGGGGTTAACAAACGGTCTGCCAATGTCTCTTATTAGCCCCCATTGGCTGGCAATGCGACCTACTCTTGTATTTTACTGTGATACTGTCTATCAATGCCGGCCAACTTTACTCGTGAGCGAGAACTGAGCTGGCCCGCCTAACCGAGGTCCCGCTTCGTGGCTTCGCCTTAAAATATCGGTCGGTCACGGACATTGTCCGACCCATTCGTGAAATTGTTCGACGTAGAAATGAAACCACCGGACATTCTGTCCGACCTAAGTTTAACTGAGGTTTATTGTTTGTCCGACCCGACTCACCCGAGTGTATTGGTGTCCGACCGAACTGTAGCTTTGTCCAACGTAAATCAAAATGTACCCTAGCCCAGGACAAGAAACTTGTGTGTTAAATGGAAAATTAGAGTACTATTGTATAAAAGGTCAACTGGAAATGTTGTTTTAACGTAGTCGAGCACGGGGCGGCGAGCGAAATGGTGAAGTGGAAAACGGGCTTAAGTTGTCGAAGTCTTTTTGATACTGCTGTTCTGGAAAGCAAGTTAATTTTGGCTTGGAAATAAGTATGAAAGAAACAAATTATTTAATATTTTTACAACATTTACCGTTTATTAATTTGGGTCATTCAGACTTATTTCCGAGTCAAAAATGAACTGAAGGTCATCGGACATATGTCCGACCCAAACTCAACATCACCGGACATTTTGTCAGACGGCCCTGGAAAAGATATTTTAAGGCCTGTTCGTGTGACCCAAACCTCGGGTAAACGGGCTGGGTAGTTTTCCATATAAACGCAACAGGGAGGGCTAGCCCTCCTAGTAGGGCTGGAAATTTAGGAAATATGCATGCGCAAATAATTAGAATAATTCAGAATGCACAAACAACTCCCATATAAGGAACCAACTTCCTTCATATGGAGTTGTTTACACAACAAAAAATTAGAACACGAAGAGCCAGCTCGGGTGGCTTCCATAT